CAGCAGCAAACAGCAGCAGAACGGCAGCAACAACAGCACCCTTTACACCAAGCCACCGTTTACACCCAACCAGCCACGTTCAACCAACCCCCTACACGGCGCAGCTGGGAGTTAAACCGCGGGGGGGGGGATGAGGCGATTAGCTTAATATATCAATCTTTAAGGCACGCAACCCCTCCCACCACAACATTGCTAAAACAAAAAAGAATTCAATTAGCATGCTAGCTTTCCTAATTATTCCCACATCTCTTTATATTTATTCAATTCATTCGCCCATATCATTTCCATATTAATCAATCGGTTTGCTTTTCATAATATATATATATATACCCAAAATAAACTATTTTTACATGCTATATTCATATTTATTCCTATCAATCATAAATAGAGCAAATCAATATAAATAAATTTCAACATATATTATATACAAAACAAAAAAATCTTTCATCCAATCTTAAAATAATTCAAAAATACGAATATATATTCGATCAACAACATTTCAAAATACTAAAAATATATACTTCATTTTTTTTCAATCATATAATCGATACATAATTTAATATATTTAACAATTACTAAAAATATTAGTAAATACGAATATATAAATATATTCCTTTTATCGTCATTAAATCTATAATTAACCTCAAATTTATACAACCACCATGATATCTATACAATAATTCTACCGAACAATTACATTATTTATATATTCTTTATCAACCAATTAAATACATATATATATATATATAACAAAAAATCATAAAAACATCTATCTTTCATAACTATTTTAATCGCATCTAAAATTTATTTTAAACTTCATTGTTCCAATATTTTTATTTCAACATCGATCAATTAAAACCTATAAAAACAAAAATTTGTTAAAGAAATATGAATATAACTAAACATAAATCAAATTAAACATATTAAAAAAATACAATTCTTAGAATAGTTTAATGTTAGTACAGCATATCAATAAAATAAAATAATCAATTAGATTATCTATTATATTTAATTCCTTATGTTTAATTATGCATAAACGCAATTAATTGGTATGAGTCCATCCGAGATGGAATTGATCCCTCTCGGTGACAGCAACCTACTGCATTATATACAAAATAACTTTGAATTCATGAACAGGCGAATTCACTTTGGTCCGCAACATCACCTTGGAGGCAGAACTGCTCTACAGCATCTGCGCTCATGGCTGCCCTGTCTAAAGCCCACCTTAAGAAATTACCTAGGCTTTGCACCACCGTCTGGCACCGCTCGGACTTGCTCGGCCCATGTCCTCAGGTCCCAGGCGAGACATGTTGAATTCTCCAGATGAGAACGCAGTCTTGGATCCTGGATTCAAGATCTCAATCCCGAAGAAACGAGATTTAGATGAGATTTGACCATTTTGTCCATCCTGGAGATCCAATCTTGGATCTCAAGAAACTGCCAGGTGAAGGCCACTCGACGGCCGGGACTGCTGGTGATGGAAGCCAACTCAGCTTGCAGCTATCAAGTATCTGAGGAAGGCATCATCTGCTGCAGCGGATGGATCAGCAGCTGGCAGGCTTTAGGGTGGCGAAGAGATTGGCTTTCTGGTTTGTTCAAAAGAGTGAGATTGGGCTGCAGTCCAGCCTCATCTCTTTATAAAAAAGAATTGCATTTTTGAATCTTGAACCTCAAGTCAACAGCCTCCCAAAAAAAATGAACACAGCATACCCCAACCAAAGAGATGTCCTCCGAACTGGTGCCGTTTTGTACCCAGCACATCCACGCCTAAGTGACCCGCGCTTCGCATTGGTGGCGGAGGGCTTGGTGATCTTAGTGCTTGGTTCTTGCAGGCCTCGCAGCGAGGAACGGACGGACTTTCACCAAGTCTTCGCAAGGGCTCCACCAACTGACAACTGTACGGGATACCCAAATCTGACTCGAATTGGCTGCCAAACTTTCACGGAGTTCTCCTGTGTAACAGCACGATTTGGAAGGGTGCGCTCGTCGGTATCGCTATTCAATCAGGTTGAAGGATTCTCTCTCACTGGATGCTGCAACTGCATGCTGGAAAGATCTGGAAAGTGTTCAAATGGTTGAAGACTTCAGAACGTTTTACAGCACGATGCATTTGCGAGTTCCAAAATAACGTCTGGTCCGACCAGCATCGGTCGTGGTAGAAACAACATCGCTCGTTCCGACTGGCGTGCTCCTCGGGATGGACGTGCTGGTCGGAGCCTGTCGTGATGTGAAAAGCAGATCAGCTTTCGATCAAGGTGGGGAAGGCACATAGAGACTTAAAGATCTTCATAGAGACTTTCTACATCCACAACACTCTATTCCTTTTTGACATATATTGATAATATTTTGCCTTGGGGATCCTTGGGGAAGGCCATCTCCTCTCCGGACATCCCCAGCCGTGGATCACAGCGATTTGTAAGTAGAACGTGACTCGGAAGATGTAGAACCGTAGAACCGCCTTGTCAGGACACCCTTTAGGAACCCCCTTCCTTAAAAGCAACCTGAGCAACTCTAAATAATATAGCTAGAACACACTTAACTGAGCGTTCATTTAACGGGCATCGAACCTGACAGCTGTGAAGGCGCAAACGGAGCGATGCATCCGAGCGGCGCTGGAAAGACTGATAGCCAGAGAGTTCATCTGGATTGTGGGCAAACCTCAGATGTGGATATAGAATGATCAAACAACTGAAGCACTTTGTAAAATGTTCATGCTTGCGCGTGGATCTAGCATTGTCCCACAAAACAACATTATCCTTCCTTCAAAAAACTTGCCAAGCAAGTATCAGCGTTAATGATGTAGACAGGTGCCCTAACATGCTAAAACATAGCTGGTGATACACGCGTTGGCCAAATTTGCCAGGTCTTCTGTCAGCTCAGGCTTCTGCGGACAGTTCAGCTCCATGTCGCACCTTCCAGCCTGGACTGCGGATTTGGCAACAAGAACATCTTCACCACCGCAACGACGTGCTCAACGACGATGTCCAAACTGACTCACCCTCACGGGTTCAGAGGACTGAGACAAAGATATTCTTGGGATATGGTATATGCCTCATCTCTCCAACATGGCTTTCACTCGGACTTTACTAGTCCACACACTTCTCTTCATCTGCATCCAGCCAAAACACACACACACACACATGCGCGCGCGGACACCGGTACACATCGGGGGGCCTCTAAAAAGTCGATACACATCTGCGTCTTCCCAGGCAATTGGCCTCTGTGAAAACGGCACTGCCAGGGGTGGTAGACATTGGAGGTCGATCTTAAGAGTCTCAGGGCTCTGACTTTTGGGAGGAAGACTCCAAAAACATCCCAAGGTGTCTCTTCAGTTTCCTGTCTGTTCTTCAGGCCACTCGGTTGATTTGAAGTTCAGTCCTGCGTCTGGGGGCCGAATCTCACCAGCGTTCACCAAAAGGCGCATCAAAGCCGCATCCTCAGAGTTTCGGAGAAACGTGATAGCCAGCGGCCGGTGGAAAAAAAACACGGCTGCCGTAGAAGTCGTTCTGCAAAAATGCTAGTGTTCTATCAGATCATAGGACTTCCAACATGAGACTACCCCAAAGCGTGGCTGGTGCGGAACTCTTTGAAGGCCACATAGCCTGCCTCTCCGGTCTGCTTCTTGCAAACTCGCCAACTGCCGAACACCCAGCGAAAATAGGGCAAAGCACCAGCAATACATGTAAAGGGGACATGGCTAAGAGCTGCCAAGCCAGAATCAGGGCCATCCTTCAAAGGGAGCATGCCAACGGACTGCAGGAACTCCTTCCTTCAGATTGACATACGCGGTCTCCAAGCCATGCGCTAACTGCAACGGAGTCTGCGAGACTATCCATCGCAGCGTCCGTGAGCGACAGAGTCCTCTCGTCCTCAGGTCGTGCAAGGATGTGACTAATCTGGACACTCTTTAATGGGCTTTAATGGGAACCGTGTATTGCATGTCGCAGCTATATGAATCAATCGTTCTCCACATCATAGCTGAGAATGCAAGCGCTCTTCCCTGCCAAATGTGCCAAAGGGCCCCTGAGGCGGTCGATCTCAACGACACTGCCGCACAAGTCCGATTTTTCTTGTGCTTGGAGGATGGAAGTGGTGCCCACATGCCTCCATGAGTGAGCAAGTGTAAAATCTCTCCGGCTCCAACGCGAAGTGCGGGCTGAAAAAGCTGGAAAAGGAGAATCTGCACATCAAGCTGGGCAAAAATGGCCAAATCCACCGAGTCCAACGGCATTCGAAGCACAAAAGCGCCTTTGAGGCTGCCAGGCACAACCGGGAGGCTTGGTGTCCTGGACATGTCGATGGACGGAAAGGGGCCCGTGCATTGCCAGCCCATCTTCCACGAAGACCTGGCCACCAGGATGGTCTCCCACTGCCGTGATGTGGCTTGTGGGCACGTTGTTCCCAGCAGGATGAGGCTGCGTTGTCTTGTGGTAGTTCACTTGGATGGTTGTGAAGTGAGCCATCTCAGCCTTACCCATGAAGGAAAGAACAATCAGTTTCTGTGATGTTCTTCAAAGTACAGTATCGAACAATGAATGTTTTTTCGTGGCTTCTTCGAACCTGCCGTGTCGAGAGCTTTCGATGCAGGCGGGTCCCCGGCGGGTCGCTTCTGCGGGTCTGCGTGGAGCTTTCGATGGGGAGATAGGATGGAAGGGACGGGTGTCAAGGGACAGAGAGTCCTATTTGATGTGCTCAATTTGGATTGCCGATGCAAATTTGTCGACACATGATCCGCCATCGAGCTGAGCTGCTTCACCAATGTCTTGCGCGTCTGATATGCTCTGAGACTGCACAGCAGTCGCACTCTGGACAGGGTGAGCATCCTGGTCATGCTACACAATGCTTGCATTTTGAGCAACAGCTTGGCCGCCTTTGTTGTCTGGACCCATTTCTGGCACAAAGCAGTGAAGCCATCGGTCTCCGACTCCGGGTCCACCTGTGCTAAATGCTCCTCCAGACTTCGAACGCTTTTTAGGTGCTTCTTCGCGGGAAGTTGGGGAAGGCTTCCTCAAAGGCGCTGCGGAGTAGCGCAGCAGCACTTACACCATCTTCAGTCCTTGGATGGATGCTCTGGGGGTTGCAAGTGGGGCAAACAGGATTTCCCTTCTCTGAACAAAAGACATCCAGCAAAGTGAGTGGAGTGAACAAGTCTCTTCCAGGACTCTTCCCCCTATGATTCTATGATCTACACTGGGCATCCTCCATGATCAGTAAAGTCAAGCAAGCACACGGACATGACCCAAATACCCCAGGAGTGACTACTACAGCATCTTCATTATTGGCTGCTTTCCAAGCAGCCCTCGGCCTGCTTCTTGCGTCTTTTCACTTCGACCTGCGCCGCACATAGGCAAAAAAAGAGCCCAAAGGCACAGCCATGGTGGATGTTGTGTGTGTGTGTGTTTTTAAAGCCATGTTGTGATGAGCCATGATTCTGGTTCAATTGGATTCAACAAAAGATCACCGATCCTCCGCCTCTTCGGACGATCGCGCGCGGCGCCTCGTGGGAAGTGCGGGAAGGCTTCTTCAAAGGCGCTGCGCAGGAGATCAGCTGCACTGGGCCACTTGACATCTTCAGTCCTTGCACAATTCGACGTCATTGCATCAATATCTGACTGATTTCAACACTGACACAGTCTGTCAACTTTGGAGCGTGGAACTTCTCTGAAGCGCATTGAAGCATCGTGTGCCCGGTGCCCAGTTGTCCCCAGTCGTCGAAACTGGCCCAGTCGTCTAGTCCGTGCCGCCGAAGCCACTTTGCGGCTGGCTTGCTAGTCCGTGCCTAGAACGCACGAGGTGAAGAACGACATCATTGCTATACGACATGAAAGAACACTTAATCAGACATGGTCCGCATGTGCTCCAACTGTGTGAATGTACATTTCCAAATAGGCTTACTCTTGGAAGCCTATAATAGGCTTACTCTTCTCTCATCCCTCAGAGTTGCTCATCTGTCCAAGTCGCGAGCGCTCCAAGGGACCGGCTCCTTGGATCACCCGAGCGGGGCCCGGAGGCTCGGTGGTCCGGCCATCACGGACGGTTTCGTTGAAAGCGCCAGAGAAACAACAGGAAACGGTTTGAACCGCCCAAGGACGCCAAACCTATGGGATTCCTGTAATATATAGATATGATATCATATTCTGAAGCTGGCCCAGCCGCTGTCGACCAGTTTTGAGAGTTGAATGATGCTGAGTTGTTGAGTCGTGAAGGACAATTCAACCTCCACTGGTGAAGTGAAACGTGTATTCCCATCGAGGTTTCCCAGTCGAGTGATGTTTGAGTCATTTCCATTCATTTCCCAATTTGTTCCCAGCTTCAGAGTATTCTTTGAAGCCTCTTTGTGCTTACGGCCACCCACGTGCGTCTCCACAGTCGTGAGGTCCTGCAGCACTCAGTGGAAAACTTGGCACAAATGCGAAAGCGTTCTGCAGAAACAGAAGGATCACGTGGGTGTGTGTTTTAATAGGGAGACCACTGGCCCTGGCTGGACAGACTGGTTTCCAGAACCAAACCTAGCGGGTCGGGACTCCTGGGAGGTCTTCCGGAATACACACTCGTCACTCGTTCATGCTCTATACCTGGAGGGCGACCTGGAGTCGACCTCTAGTAGCGATGCCAGGAGCCCCGAACGTAGCGTCCGATGCGCTCGTTCGTAGTAAGGCCAGGAGCCCCGTTCGTAGCTCGGTCTACTGCCGAGAGGCATGAAATGGGCCAACGGAGCAAATGCTGCAAAAGTAGAGTCCAAAGCGATTGGAAGAGCAAAAGTCAGAGACGACGATGCCTGCGCCCAAGGCTTCCGAGCCACGAGATTTGTACTTCACGGAAGGAGTAAGGAAGTGAATGCTGCTGGCCACGCACACACACAAACACACACACACACACACACACACACACACATCCAAGTCTTTTCTATGTTGATACAATATGTTGAAATATATTTTGCGTACCAATATTATATAGTTACGTTCTATATATATATATATATATACTGTTCTATATATCCATTTCATTCCATTTCCACATCAAAGATCCTAGGACGGTTGAGAAACAGGAACAATCCACAGGAATGCCATCACTGAGCTTCCAAACTGGACCCAACACCCACGACCTCCGCGATGTGCCGCCCGCCTTCCTGTTGCAATTCAGGGCTCAAGGAGAGCTTGGCCTCCACCGGTTCCTTGGGGGCACGTCGAACGGCACATCTGGATTCCGCATCCGTTTTTTCACGGCGCTGTCAAACCGGAGCAAACGTGCCACTCCACTCCTACAGGACCAAGTGGCAGGTGGCTTCGCCTTCTTCTGATGCTTCTTGCCCTGCCGGACTTGCGTCGCGTTTCGTTTCGGCGACGATACGGTAGTGTGTGGCAGACTTGGCAGTGGTGCGAGCCGCAAGGAGCTCGAAGCAGCGAACCGGCGACCTTTCATTTATATTCATCACGGTTTAGAAAGAAGATGGACACATCCAAAAACCCATGGGTGCTGCTTTGGGATCGGTTCAGGTTTCTATCTACTCCAGGATGGTAGATGACCCGCCTGGACATGTGATTCCATCTGCTCCTTGGCTGTCAGCTGAGACCAAAGAAACACTTCCATCGGCTATGAAGGCCATGGAGCAGGGACCCCTTAGGTCTTGACACCCAATGAGTGCAGCTCTTACTCTTCAAGTCAGCCTTTGATACCTCAAAACAGCTGGAACAACCTGGTGGTCTCAAACCAATGGATGTCCAGATTTGGAGAAACAGAAGCAATGATTCTCACGCATGAAACTGGTGAGGAGGTTCTGCCACTTTGGAGATCTGCCCGTCATGAAGTTCAAATTGAGATCCAGTACCCACCACATTTAAACATCCAACAAAAGCAACCGCTGCTGACTGTATGAACATTGTAGCCACATTAGCCCCCATCTATTGACATTGTTGCCCCAAACCTTGCAATTTTTGACAACACCCTGGACAGCCTGGACCTGAAGGGGAATCCGCTGATTCGTTGGCATTTAACTCACAAAACTTTGACCATTTCCGTTGCAAATGGATGCAACTTCTGGTCTCGTCCTTCGCGACTTCAATCCATCCTGACCAAACATACGTGTTTCGTGGACTCTACAAAGGGGATGTTCTACACTGACCCGTGAGGATGGCACAGTCCTACACTCCTAACACTCTTGATGCCTACACTCTCCTAAGGGGCTGTCCTACACCCTCACTTTGACTCATCGAAGTGGATAGCACAGCCCCTTGGAAGACGACTTTCCTTGACGAACGGGGGGTTCCACTATTGGTTTTCGTCAGAGTGTATGTATAATGTATATGTCCATACGTATCTCCATCTCATTCCCATCTGCAGGTGCAGGTGCTCTGGATCCATACGATGCTGGCACGAAGCACTCGTCCGAACCCCCGCCACGGCCGAGGCTCGGTGCTCCCCACCGGCCCTGCTTCACATAGGTCGCAGTAGAGACCGTCGTGACGCCGGCGAATTCCTCCGCCCAGCCCGGTGCAAAGGAAGCATGGAGTGTCTTAGACGCCAAGGCATTGAAAGAATTGGGGAAAGGCATAGCAATAGCGTGACACCCCACATGTTCTCTGGAAACGAAGAAAAATGTTCTTTCTTGCTGGTTGGCCAAGGCAGAAATTCCGGTTTCCATGGCCTCTGCTTCAACTGTTCACTCCAGTCCACGATGGCTTTGGGCCTTTCGTTTTAACCAACTTCTATTTTGCGGAACCACACGGTGTGAAAGCAAACTGCTAGCTTCATTGTCGTCAACGTCTATTCTCTATGTGTTCTCTAGAGTTCGGTATGTATCGGCAAGCCAAGCAGTAGCCCATATGCTGACGATGATTTCTTGGATTCGACAATCGTCCAAGTCTTCGGACCAATTCGCCGCGCTCCAGATAGATCAAATTGCGCCTTTTTTTTTGTACAAGCAAAACATACCGGCATCTCAGTTCTCTCAATCCCGGGTCCCACCTAAGACGGGAAACCATGAAAAACCACCGCTTCATAACAGTTCCACCGCTTCATTTGTGCATGCCATTGACTATGCATTGCAATACGTCCTACTTCATCTGACAACGGTGGTCCCTGTCCTTGTGCTTCCCACCCATCCTGACCGCGTGAAACAACATGACATCATCATGAGTGGCCAGAACTTGCCGGGCGAAACCATCGCCATGCTTGCTCAATTGAGTTTAAACTGCTTGACTCTGCTGGACATCTGCCTGCATGGAACCTCTTGTGCTGCCCGTGTCGAAGC